GACACCGGCCCTCACAGCCTGGAATTGCCCACCCCTGTGCTAGGTACATTATTTCAGGACAAATTTTCTGCTAAAACACAATGTTTAGTCTGTATAGATGTTACATGACAAGTCTGGATCTGGAAAAGTTGGGATTTTTAAATTCAATTCAATTCAATTTTATTTATATATACATATTTTGTGTCGCTGGTTTTTGCCACACGCTCAGTGTGTAATGGCTTTAAGGGTTAGCCTAACCCTAAGCTCTACGTTCCAAGGTCCTTTTTACGGCAAGCCTCATTCCTCCATTCACACGAGTGCTTTTTTCTGTACCTAAGCTAGCCTTCACAATCTCACACTATCTTGAATGTTGGCAAGGATGCTTTGACACCCAGGTTGGAGGAGCAAGGCCTCAAACCACCAGAGTTTTTCATTAGTACATATGATCCACTCTGTCTCCTGAGCCATAGCCGCCCCTACTTCTACTTTTTAAGTGACTATGTTTCTATCTGGAAATCCTTCAAGGATGAACTTCACCCTGCAGCACATGGATGTTTCCTGTGAAGCCTATGATCATTTCATCCACTGTATGAACCAACTTCAGGACCTGGAGAACGGACAATGTAGTTTCAGAGTCGATCAGCTCCCTTCTAACTTTGATCAGTTTATTTTATATGAACGTGTAGAACAACTGGTGAGTAAAACATTAACCAACATAATTTGACCATAACTACAGTTTTATACACTAGACTGCCAGAAGTATTACCCATCCAAGTCATTGAATTCAGGTGTTCCAATCACTTCCATGGCCACAGGTGTCCTAGACATGCAGACTGCTTCTACAAGCATTTATGAAAGAATAAATCACTCTCAGGAGCTCGGTGAACTCCAGTGTGGTAGGATGTGCAACAAGTCCAGTCAAGAAATTTCTGCACTAGCAACTATTAATCAGTCAACTGTCAATGGTGGCATGTTCTCTGAAAGGGCAAATCATGCTTCTCCCTCTGGCAATCCGATGGATGAGTCTAGGTTTGATGGTTTCCAAGACAAGACGTTTGGTGAAGGGGGATTTATGGTGTGGGGTTGTTTTTCAGGAGTTAAATGAACTCCTTTTGGACAATTTAATTCTCCCAGCTTTGTGGGAATAGTTTGGGGATGGCCCTTCCTGTTTGAACATGACTGCACATGAGTGGATAGAGCAAGGTCCATAAAGACATTAATGAGTGAGTTTGGTGTGGAAGAACTGACCTCAATCCAATAGATCACCTTTGGGGTGAATTAGAGCGAAGACTGCAAGCCAGGCCTCCTCAACCAAATTCAGTGTCTGACCTCAGAAATGTGGTTCTGGAAGGATTTAAACTAATTAGGAACTCAAGTTCATATGTGTGTGAATTCAGAGAAGCAAATACTTTTGGCAGTATAGTCTATATTAGCTATTTTTTAACCTTATTGAATGCTTATTTTTGATCATAAACCTCAAATGACACTGTTTGCAATAACTTACTGTAAATGCATTTAAATGCACGTCAGAGTTGCTTTTGTTATTGTAGTACAAAGTGCTACTCCAGTGTTAATCTTTTGGAGACACTGTTGTGAGTGTCATATTGATTGATTGATACCACTGTTTGCAGTATGATATGCTAACATGCCGCTTACAGCAAGACAGTGTTTGTATTTAAACTGCTTGATAAAAGACAATTTTCCTCTTATGTTCGATTTATGGTACCAAAAGTATTTTTCACCATTTGGAATTCTCAAAAAGCAATTTTTTAACCATTTAAAAATAAATATACAATAACTTCTTTTTTTTTTTTAAATATAACATGCAAACAGTGAAAAGGTTTCATTTTTATCCAATACGGTTAAGTGGGTTTGTGATAAAGGATGACTTTCATCAACTGGAATAAGTTGTTTATTTGTATGTTATATATATTTTTGCAGGAGCTGTGGAAGGTGACTGCGACTCCTCTTCCTTTTAAGCCAGCCAGATCTGATCCGGAAGCATTTTAATGTTGATCTTGTACCAGCACCAAACCAAAGTGAAGAGAAACTTTCACCCAAAATTTGACCTAAAATATGTTTCAAGTTTACAGTTGATGTTTTAATTACATATATTTATAAAAAAAAATATATGTATAAAATTAAATGTAGTAATCAAGATAAATATTGAAAATTAAAAAAAACAAAAAACAATAAAAGTAAAAAATATTATTTTGTTTACATTTTGCATTCCCTTGTGTAACTTTTTATCCTTTTCATCCTCATGTCAGTGGTTGTCAGTGTCAGGTTGGAGGAGCTTGGGAAGTGGAAGGAAGTGCTAACTGAGAAGTGGTGGGTCAGTTTTAGAGCCGATTAGATAGTCTTTGACCAAGAGACCAAACAGCAACGCTCAGTCATAGTTCTTTAAAAGTCACCTTGAAAATGCTGCTTTTGGTCTCTGGTTAGGGTTAGCTTATGGATATTGTATATGGGGGTTTTTTTTGTGCTTTTTGTGTTTTTTGTTTTCTTTTCTAGTAGGATTCATAAGTTTACGGATGCAACAAACAGGCACAGATAAGTGCCATTTAGTCCAAGGTGAAACACTAGAATTTCGCTCACGAAAACTGAAGCACAAGTGTCTTAAATGAGTCGTAACACTCTGCACGCATTGGTGTCTGTTTGAGAATGCCTTTAAAAATTCTTTAAGAAGCACCATCAGCACAAACTTGGTGGAGTTGTTGACATTGTGAGTTCTGGTAGACAGCAGTCTGCTACAGCGATGGTGGCATACCTATCAGTCAAACCAGCAAACTGTAATACTTATTTGTGAATGACTTCAGAGTATGAAAGGGAAATTATCTACAAGTTATTTTTGCACCAGACTGTAAACATACTTTCTAATTCTGTAAATATGGAAATTCAAATATGGGAATTTATAACTATGAATTATAATCGTTTTTTGTCAGTTTATTGGAGGTTTTTGTCTAACTTGCAGCTGTTTTTGTGAAATGTTTTGAAGCAGTTAATTGAAGCATACCAATTTTGTTTTAACTTACTTCTGTTGAGATACATTATATATA